TGACCACTGGCAGTATGTAATGATGAAACTGCACTGAGGGATGTGTTTGCTTCAGGTTTGTCTGTGTTTTCCTGTCTCTCTTCGCAGTGCTGCCTTTACAGTTTAGTTCCGACAGCGTTGCACAGCACAGTCTGTATGTGAAAGAGCACAGAGTCCGAGCGGAGAAGAGCTCACACAGACCTCTGGACCGGACTTTGTTTGTGCTCAACATCCCCCCATACTGTTCACAGGTACCGTTTATGTTGCTGTTACCTAATGAATGACTACCTCATCATCAGGTGATATATTAGTAGTCATTCCCGCACTGCTGTGTGTGTTTCAGGATGTTGTCAAAGACTTGTTCTCGCAGTTTGGCTGTGTTGAGTCCGTGGAGCTGAGAGACCACCCGGGCACCTTTTTGGAGTCTGGACCCAGGCTGTCCAAGGTCTTTAAACCAGTTACAAAACAGGTGAGTTGTGTCTGCTGTAACACTAGGAGCACACATTTATTCTCTGTACTTATTGTGTGCATATATCCGATCATTTTCTCCCCTCTTGTGTCTCTGTCTGCCCCTTCCAGGGTTTCAAAGTGAGCTACATTGTGTTTCAAAACTCCTCCAGTATAACAGCAGCTAAGTCTCACCCACATGATGTGCCTCTGGTGGTCTGCACAGAGCAGCGTCCAGTGAGGACAGGAGTACAGAGTGAGTGACGCTACAGCGATGCAGCCATTTTTATTAATGCAATGTTTAGACTTGTTAATGTGCGTCTAGTATTACAACTTCAGTGTGAGACAGGCTCTTTACAAACGTGTCTTACAAAATATTCATGGTACATGTTGCACTTTCTCATGCCAGAATGGATTGAGCAGTACAGACAGTCCTTCATTCATCCGGACAAACTGCAGCAAATAGTCGACTCCTTTATGACAGACTACGACAAGCGGAAAGAAGAGGTGAGGATTCTGCAGCTCTTCCTCCAGCGTCGCCTGCCCGCCCGGTCCGTGTGATTTCAACATGGGGTTTGTTTTCTTTGTCACAGGACGCAGAGAGGCAGAGGAAGGAGACTGAGCAGCAACAAGAGGATGAAGAGGGCTGGGTGAAAGTCACAAGAGGACCAAAAGGCACCAAGGCCCGCCCGCACAGCGAGGCAGCCAACAAGAGGACTCTACAGAAAGAGTTTGGGAAGAAGAAGAGGAAGGAGCTCATGAACTTCTACACCTGGCAGCACAGAAACACACAGAAAGAACGTAAGTTGCCCATTCGGTTGATCCTTTTCTTCATCTGCAGGCTAGAATTTGCTTTTAATGTTTGGTGAAGAAGATAGAGAAGACATTGAACGATGTTATGGTTAACTATATTTTATGTTTCTCTTTTTCAGATATTGCTGAACTAAGGAAAAAGTTCGAGGAGGATAAACAGAGAATAGCTCTGCTGAGGGCGCAGAGAAAGTTCAGACCTTACTGAGTCCCTACCAAAATTTTCTTTTTATTTCACTGCTTTTGTGTGTTTTAGCTACATTATAAACCTTAACATTTATTTTCTGTGTTAATAAACTCTTCAGATTGACAGTTTTCATGATTATTGAATCACCAGCACCTCACAAGAGATTAATGACATTTGGGAAATGAGTGATGTTGACAGAAGAAAGCATTTGATTAAGACCAAGTACAGCATCAAGTATAAACCTTACATATAATGAAATGGAATATATTCTAACTATATTTTATATTAGTGTATTTTACCTGAATATAAGAATGAATGTTTTCATTAGCCTAGAATGAGCCTTTTAAATCTACAGACGCTGAAGATCGCCATGTTGAACTGCCATATTTCTACAGTAGCCGAGAACAGACGAACCAAACACTGGCTCTAGATAAGGGCTCTCATGCTTTTTGCACGTTAAACAGTAGTTTCTCCATTGAAAGAAGGGGAGGGTAATGCGAGGGTGTTGCAATCTGCAACTAAACTGCTAAATGCCACTAAATCCTACACAGTGGTCCTGTGATCACAGCAGCTGTCCTAGCACCTGTTCTGGATGTAAAATACAAAGTACAAAAACCCGTTTGAATGTGCAATGTGTTTTATTGAGATTGTTCACGGTCAAGCTGTGCACCACGAGCTTGCTGTGCTTTTGACTTCTGCCACTTCCTGATATTTGACCATGTAGTGAACAGCAGGATCAATAGCAGGGCTGCACCAACACCCGAGAGCATATACACGGTCACCTGAAACACTGAGCAACAGAGAAATCATTTAATTCAAGTTTTGCTGTTGTTCTGTCACATGGTAACTTAGTTTTGTGCTAAGCAGGACCTACTTGTGTTCTGTTTCACACACAGATTGTCCTCTAGTTCAGTGTTGTTGTGTCCCAGCAGCAGTGGCCCTAAAGAGACCAGCTGGACCTGGTCGGACTCTGACGTTGCCTGTCTTCTCTGTCTGTCACCCTCAGATGCTGTGGAAAGAGAGTCAGAAGTTTAACACCACATACTCAGCACAGGCAGTCAGTGTACGAGATGAAACAGACTAATATACTCACAAATGATGGCGCAACGCTGTGCACAGTCAACAGTGTTGGTGCAGATCTCCACCCAACAGTAGAAGTACATCTAAGTGAGAGATTACACATAGCCATGTCTGCAGAGATACACACTTAATGTTACTGACATCTCTGGATGTGATCACCTTACTTCCTCTACACTTGGATGGCCTGTATGAGGGTCCAAGAAAGCAAAGGTCTTGACATCAAACCTCCTGACTTGGGAGTGGGAGGTGGTCTTCCCTTGGTTGTCCACAGGGAGAGAGCTTCTCATGTTATCCAGAGGGTTGGGACATCTATCCAGGAAGGAGAAGGAAAAAAAGTCAGCTGTTCAGTATCAATTCAATGATCTCATCTCAGGTTGCCACTGTGACTGGCTCTACCTTACCCGTCATAGAGAAGCGTCCACACAGAGTGTCTAGACGCAGGGTATGCAAAGCAATCCCGTACACGCAGGGAAAGCGTAGGGTCTGGGGACGGCTGGGCGATGGAGATCTCAACATACGCAGCTTTACGCAAGGGCAAGGTCAGAGGAAGCTGGTCCTCAGAAAAGAAGGATGTGAAGGATGCATCTAGAGGAGCAAATAATCACAGATACAGTAACTCAGATCTTCACTTGATGTAAAACCAACACTTCTCTCCATTTTATCACCTTTGGCTATCCTCATCTGCACTCTGAAGGTTCCTTGTGCAACCACAGGCGGCGGGTTGGTCACTGCATACAAGGACCGCAAATCTGCTGCGCGCTTTAAATCTGACACCTCATATTCACACTGGACCTGGAGACTTAAAAAAAACAAAAAAAGGCCATACTTCTTAGTATATTTGTTACCACCAGTACACTTTAATTGTGAGATAATTCATTTTCTAACCCCTGTCCACTCTGTCAGAGCCATCAGCTTTACAGTAGTGTACAGAGGATGTAAAAACTAACCCAAATGGTGAGTTATTGGTGATACTTTTACTATGCAGCTCCTCCACTTCCACCTCATAGATCATAACATCTCCATCTACCTAAAAACCAAGAAGTCAGAATCAATTATTTACTGATATTCAACCCATATGCAAAAACATTTCAGTGAGACAATCTGAGCTCCGTACAGTATTTGAATTTAGATATTCTTTTCTAAAAATGCTTTGTACCACTATGTATGAGCTTGGTAAAAAAGTTTCAAAGGTCCAGCTGCAGCAAAAATTTGTGTTTTTGTTCAGTCATTCTGCTTTTATAGTAACCACTCATGTGACTGAATTTCATACCAGAATTAAGTTTGTCAAAGATTAAAGGAATCAAACTCTTGATACCTTCATCTTTGCACCACACTCCATGACTGCAATCTTGAAAACAGCCGTGTCTGGGGTGGTGACCACAGGGAAACACTGTGGCTGATCCTTAACTATGAGGTTGCTGGGATCGATGGGCGAGTCTGTGTCTGTAGCCTTTACTGAGAACACAAAGTGTCCATCCAGAGAGCAGGCTGGAAGGGAAGGAGTGTCAGCACACAGGACTTTCTTACTCAAACCAGCAAGATTAGCGTAAGTTCTTATTTGGACGAAAGGTCAGTTCACTTCCATGTATACAGTGCTTTCGTAGGTAAGACAAAAATCTTACCATTCAGTCTGTAGTAGCAGGTTGAATCATGAGCATCATAGCAGCATCCCAGTTTGTAGCAGGCCTCTTTGGAAATTCTTTGGGGGCCACAGTCCACTCGTAGAGCTCTTTCTATGTCACAGTTTCCAGGTAACGCTGGAGAAGAGCCATGTTTTTAGTGCCACGGTAAATTGTGTTGTGCTAAAAACCCTCTCTGTATTGTAAATGACAACCCCATGGCATCACTTTTGTGTAAAGAGAACTCTTAACAAAGGGCCTGTTTAAGTTATAATTGATGAAACGGATGAAAAATGAGCACTGACTTCAGATATGGAGCACATAATTGTGTCATGTGCTTGTTTAAGCTCAACAGCCGTCTCCACTCACGTTTTGGGATAAGTCGAGTCCTCTCGCTGGCTCTCTTTATCAGAGGACAGCTGATATTTACCCGGAACCATCGGCCCTCTCCCGTCAGCTGTACCTGCAGAGATATGACTACTCTGCTTCCCTGAGGATCAAAGGTCGTCACAGTGTGGATGTTAAGGAGTCGTGCACACTAGTTTGCATTTACATTCACACACAAATCCACAGTGCATGTCTATATCCCCTTCTGTAGTAGTTCTCAATGTACAGTAAATAAGAGACACAATTGCATATTCAGGCAGACATATATTTATATTCCCCATGATGGTTTTTACTATTTAAACTGTACAAATAATGGTAATAATACATGTTATGTCAATGCATATACGTTTTAACTATTAGGATTTAATTACTTAAATCGGTTCCTATTACCATCTAATCCATACATTAGTTAGATTCATTGGTGATCGCTATCAAGAGACGCTGCCTGCTTGTTTTATATCCTAGCTATTGGTCGAAGAATAAAGAAAGGCTGGAATTTTCTGTAAACAGGACATATCATTTTATGTTGTTATCCATAATTTTGGTAGTTGCTAATTTCTCTGCAATTGTGTGCTTTGGTGGCTGGGAGAAAAATATGATTCCATGAATATATTAAAGTCCAAATTGGAGTACACCATCTTCCATTCTTAGTTAATGGAAAACTGAATTGCACCAATCAATAGTGTTTAATCATTTAGAAACATTGTGGAAAAGGGGTTCCAATTTTTCTCTGAATCAAGGGCAGGCTGCAAAAAAAATATTAGTACCACTGGGAGGGCCTTGCTTTTGAAAATGTCCAGCCCAATAACTCTGGTATCTTTATTTATTTATTTATTTACATGTATGCAGTCTTACTTTACCTTAATCTGTGAATAGCAGCTGTCATATCTGCTGAAGACAGACAGGCTCTGGTTTTTCTCTCTGCCCAGTCTCACTCCACAGGACCCCTCAGATTGGGGCACTGGGATTGTGGCCCCTGCCATGTCTAAGAAGACGACAAAGCACACACGATGCTGATGGATTCAATGCGACTGTTCAGAGCCCATTTTGGAACTATTGAGCACTCTGTAGGCTACTGACACGATTTCCAGACATGTTTCGCCATCCGTCTCCGGGGTGTAGTGCTGCACGTATGTGACCTTACCTTGAACATGTATGTTACTTTTGACTAGCGGGTCAAACACAGCTCTTATCCTCCGGGCAGAGCAGGTGACTCTGGGCAGGGCGAGCTGCTCGGGTGTCCTCTTCATCAGGACGGTTGAGAAACAGTGCGGAGCCATGAGGGCCAACATGAAAGAAAGTAAACATTTTACACACTGATTTTTCATCTCCTTATACTTTAGGCGATGTGGTTTTGGGTAAATACGGTTTTGAACCCAGAGTTCCCAGGTCCGTCTTTGACGCTGGGAAGTTGTCACGTGACTACTGTTAATTAGTGTTAATTAGTTTGGGCCTTGCTGCCTCGTCTACCGGAGGACAAGCTTTTCATTTAGGGTGGGTGAGCAAAAGTACAATATACATGTTTATTGTTGGAATACCTACGTCTGGGGAACTTACTAAGGTAAGTGACTATTGTTCTGCTCATTTAAGAGTTAAATGATACATGAAAATAAAATAAATTGTTTAAAAAAGAGGTAATACAGTTAACTTGTAGCGTCCACTGGGGATTTATATAATATTGTAATCCCGTCAACCTGTGCGCCCTGAGAGCTGCCGGCCTGGTTGAAGCTGATTTGAAAATTAGGCCAGAATAAGCTGGTAATTAATAAAAAGGTCATCGTTTAAATATTATGTATCATGCTGAGCGTATGCATGGCCCAACGTATCCTCAGGGAGCACATGAAATCATTGCGTAACTCAAAGGCCTTGCCAACCTCACTCCCTTCCCTCTCCCTATGGCCATGCTTGTACCCATCCAATTATTACATAAGCAATCTTAAAGTCCCCCTCCAGTCAGAAATCAGTTGTTCTTCTTGTTGCTACAGTGTGATGTTTGAATAATGTCTGTGCAGAGTTTGCATTCTGGCGGAGTTGACCAACTAGACAGCACTGTCTCTCTTCACATTCATGCCGCTGACAGTGGAAAGTCTCTTCTCTGAGCTCACTCGCGACATCTGCAATTTTACCGGGCGGGCCGGCCTGAACCAGCAATGATTTGTTACACTCACCAAAGGTATGGAAGGACGGAGCAGGAGACACCCCACTTGTGTCCAGCAGGAAAACTTCTAGAAAATCAACAACATTTGCACTATTCGCGGAAGTCCTTAGTTAAATTTAGTCAATACATTTTCAATCACATTTTGCAATAGGATATCCAGTTAACCCCCTCCAAAAAAACAAACCAAAAACAAAAGAAAATAAGTAATCAACCGTTCCTTTCTGAAATCCAACAATCTAATCACATCCTTGGATTCATTTTTGGAGTCGTGGAGGGAACTAGCTTGGAAGACGAAAATATTTAAATTCAGCGGCTGGAAATATTCCCATTTCTTTGATTTTCAGAGAAAGTAAGTCTGGATTTTGGGGAGAAAGGACACAATTACCAATTATGGGTTTGAGCAGCAGAAAAGTGATAACTAAGCGTGAGGTAATGTGAACTAACATCTACTGCTTGGGCGAGGGAGAGTGATTACTTTTGACAAAGAGAAAACAAATGGAGGTATTAAATTACATTAGTGAGTAACCAGCCCAACACTTAATAGTGGATCTTTAATCCTGTGTCCACTGTTTCAAAGGAAGCTCCATTCATGCTGCTTTGATACATCTGTGATCACTGTTAAAAGCCCACCATTCCTCAAGTAACTGGGTTTTTGAACCAACGTTACAAAGAGCTGCTCATCAGCTGTCTCACGGTAAATCACGAGTGGTCGTGACGCTGCCGTGACGTAACGCCAGTGACGTTTCTGGGGCACCCCGACGTTGTGACGGACTTTAGCACACAGGCAACAGGAGAGCCGAAGACGTCTCGCAAACATGGCTTTGAATCGGAATCATTCGCAGAACGGCGGCGTTTTGATAAACAACGGAGAGAGGTATGTTGAGATACTGCGTCCGTGTGTCTGTGTTAACGAGCTGGCTGTCCTCTCCCCTCTCCGCTTGTTTACCTTCTTCTTCTTCCCAGTGCGTAGTCAACACAATGCTAGCAGACCGCTAGCTGGCCTACTGCACATTAGCATAGCCAGCACACAGCTCTGTTCCGTTGTTGACGTTTGCGTTAGCTGTGCAGGTCATCTCGGGCCAAAACAAATGTTGAGTTCACTGTTTTAAACTGGGGTAATATAACATGATTAATGGCCGGCTGTGGAGTCTTCCCGGATCTTGACTTTTGATTTAAGCAACGTAACGTTAGTCAACTATGAAAACAGGAAGTGTCTGTTGTTTTCTTTCGGTGTTGACACCTTGTTCTCACCGTGGTTTCAACTAAAACTTCACCATGTTGTGTAAAGTGGCTCAGCTACACGTTGCGAAACACACTAGTTTGGTACAATTCTCACATGCATATTTAACAACAACAGCATCAATAACACCAACAATAATAACATATATGCTCACATGTCTCTATGTCTACTCTTTTACACTATTTAAATGTTATGCAGTATATTTTCTACCTTTTTATATTACACTGAACACTGTTTGAACTGTCTCTGTTTACCTGCCTCATCCTACTTTCCACTCTTGTTTTGTATCTTGTTTCTATTGCTGCTGCTGGTCACCGAGTCACCGAACAAAATGTCGCTGTATGCCTACAATGATAAAGTGTCTCATGTCTTAATAGTCTGTACCATAATTCTGTCAACATGTCTTTTATAGTGGCTGTAACAGGGTACTGTTTCCTCCTTCCCCAGTGTTTTAAGGGAATGTAAGAATGTGGAGCTGACATTCAGCGACGTCGCCTGCAAGACAGACCTGCTGAGGGGGACCAAGAAGGGCACCGTTTACCTCACCCCATACAGGGTACAGCCACACTTACATGAAATAGGACATACTATCGCTGCTGCTGAGCTCCTGGGTGGAAAGTCGGCAGTTTTCATATTCTCATACATCCTATTGTAACTCTCCCTGTGCACCCTCTTGTTTCTTTCCTCATCCACTGGTTTAGTTGCTGTTTGTGTCCAGTAATACCAAGGACTGCCTGGGTTCAGCCATGTTCCCCTATTATCTGATGAAGGGCTGCAGCATTGAGCAGCCTGTCTTTGCAGCCAACTACATTAAAGGGACAGTGTCAGCTGAGGCTGGTGGTAGGTGGTCTTCTGTTTTTACCTTTAACTACCAATGATTTGATTTGTTTGAATGTGTGTCAATCGTGGTAATTTGTTTCATTTTGGTGCTTTACCTTAGTCAAAATAAAAGCACCTCTCGCCTCTGTTTCACTTTCACAATAAAACACAAGTGTCGATTTTTGTATTTGCTCTAAATGTAGTCTGCTCCCCCTCATCAGGTGGCTGGGAGGGCCAGGCCCATTTCAAGATGTCCTTCCCCAGTGGAGGAGCCATAGAGGTGGGGCAACATCTCTTCAAACTGGCCACAAATGGTTTGTATACTAGTTTTCTTAATCACTGTGTATCACTTTCTACAATGCTAAATGTTGATTGAATATTCATTCATCCAAGGGTGATAAAAGTATTTAAACCCTCAACGAAGTAACAATGCCACAATATAAAAATACTACATTAACAAAATAAAATAAATAAATTATTAATAGTAAATAAGTAATAAATGTACTGCATCAGAAAGTGCCTTTCATACATTTAACATAGGAAGTTGTGAAAAAGCTGTGAGTGAACACACACATACACACGTAACTTTTGGAAATTCTAGTTTTGTTGTGAAAGACCATTTCCTCTTGCTGTGTTTCAGCTTCTCGTGCTGCTCCTGCCCAAAACGGTGCGGCCTCTAACGGCTATCCTTCACCTGGACCGATGAATGGCTACGGCCCACCTCCTCCCGCCTATCCTTACCCAACCCCTCCCCAGCAGAATGGATTCTACCAGGGCCCTCTCCCTGCTGCTGGCAACATGGGCTACCCCTGTCCAACAGCCGCTGCAGGTACAGTCCTGAGGGCACCCATGCCAAATGAAGCGTAGTGCTTTTAAGATGGTCAAGCATTACATTTAATTAGCTGAAATAAACCTAACACAAGGTGAATTTATAAGCTTTTTTCTGTAGATTTCTTTCACTTTCTTGTAATGTAATGTAGAAAAAGCCAGTATATACTCTAAGACGTGTACAAACTTTAATCCTTTTCAGCCTTTAGCTTATGTTTGCCTGCATGTGCAGTGCACACACATTTATATCTTTGTCAAATGTCCTCATTGTGCATAATTAATTACCCTTGAGGCACAGATAATGCTGCAGTTTCTCTCTCCGTCAGCATTTAGTTTTGTTTTTTTGTCTTTTCTGTGTAACTAATTACCGACACAGACTGTAACCTCCTTTGACATTGAAACTCCATCTCTCTCTCTCTCTTCTTTTTCTTCGGTCTTCTGTGTTCCAGGAATGTACCCAGCTGGCTTTGACTACATGGCCCCACCTCCTCCCTACCCTGGGCCACCCCAAAATTGGGCTGCACCCCCCCAGAACTGGACAGCAGCAGCAGCACCACCACCACCTCCAGGTCTGTTTCTCTCTCGCTCTCTCTCTTTGTTTTTCCTCTCTCTATATGTCTGTGTCACTGCACCCGTCAGATCTCATCTGTCTGCCTCAAAGTGAATCACTTCGAATCACGCCACCAAAAAAGGGGTGCTGATGTCTCATCCGCTACACATCAAAATTACAAAGGATAAACCATCTCCCCTCTCCCTCTCCAACCCCGTTATCTTTTCTAGCACCTTGTGGATTTCAATGCAAACTGTCTCACCCGGCACATGGGGTGAGCTGTGTACACTGTGCTGAAATGTCAGTTTGGCATATCTCTATTTTAGGAAGAGCTTGACTAGGACGTTTGCCTCTGAGCATCCTGAGGGTGTGCCATTAGATTCTGTCTCCAGGAGTCCTGGAGCTCTCAGTTGTTGTGCTTCACATGACTAATACACACTAATACTGTGCTCCTCGCATCAGTTCTCCTTACAATGTTAGGAGCCGTAGCATATGTTCCTAAATATGTTCAGCAGTCATTACTGTCTGTCTTTATCACCCCATCTTTGTCATGTCTCATTTTATGCACAGGTAACTCCAAGGCGGCTGAAGCAGCAGGCAGTGCATATTACAATCCCAGCAATCCACACAATGTCTACATGCCCATGGTAAACTGCTTTTCTTGTCTTCTCCTCAGTTAAAGTTGTGTGGAAGTGATATGTGAGTTCTCTTTTAATAGCACTTTTACAATTATAATTATTTTTTTCTTTTTTCTTCCCAAGCAGGAGCGGCCTCCACCATATGCACCTTATCCAAACTCTCCCGACAAGAAACACAACTAAGACTCAGGCATCATCACTTCAATGACACTCCTCTCTCTTCCTCTGTATCTTAAATGTATTCTAAAGCGAGAACAAATGTTGATGGATACCCAGTTGATCGTAGAATAATGAAAAAGTGCAAGTAATAGAGGGCTCAATGATGTCGGTGACAATTCACCAATGAATTCATATTTTGGATACTGGAGTAGCTTATAAAGCAATTGCATCTTTTAAATACTGTTTTCCCCTTTTTATTTAAGTAAAATGATTGACAACTTGTAACTCTAGCTTTTCGGGGGCTCATCACTATTAACATTCTCAGTGATGAGATTTATTTTGCTCTGTCTAATCTCTAGCGTGCAGGCAGGTCAGGGGCACCTAAACTGTCCTTGTTCAGAGCTGAAAGGAGGAGGCAGTATGATGGAATGTATTTTTTAGGACAGATTTATTACCAAAACATTTTGTAGCAATTTCTTGATTGCAGTTCCTACAGTTATTAACAATAGCAACACTTATTATAAAAGTATTTTTGCAGTATCATTAAAGGTACAGTGTGTATTTCCTATATAGTAGTTTTGAGTTGAGTAGTTGTCCATATACAAAACCAGAACTGGGTTGAATAGTCATAAGTAATACAACATTGACTGATTCTCATACTATGAGTAGAAGAGTTGAAGTTTCCTTCATATATGACCAATGTGATCTTGTACTACATCAGTTAACAATACAGTCTAAGTAATTCCATCTCCATCATAATTTAATATAAATAATGGAGGTTTTTGTTAGGAATAGGAGCAGTGAATTGTTTGGGGGGAAAAAGGGGAGGGGGATCAGGTAGATTTCTTACGTAACAAGTCTATGTATGTGCAATATTTTTAAACATCACATAACAAGGTTATAGGTGACAGGCTGGGGTTACCTGAATGACCCCGGGTCCTACTCCTAGCTTCTATTGTATTCATGTATGCAAAGCCAAACTGAAACCAGAACTCCACTCTTTGTGTAATTACACTAGTGTGGGGTTACAGAGCCGCAGCGTTACATTAAGGGCCCATCAGTGTTTTGCCTGCTGTTGAAACTTCTGATTAAAGTGAGGTGAGGCACCAACAGGCCATGTAATTGCTTGCACCCCCCCCCCCCC